AAAATTAAATCTTCCCAAATGAAAACATAAACTACAAATTTCCAGTCATTCAGGTTTTTTGAGCTCGGTGTAAAACTACAACATCCAACAGCTGTGATCACATGAGCACAAAAGGTTCAGTGTTGCTGCAACATGTGTGTTTACTGAGTGTGTGTGTCTGTCTGTGAGGAAAACAAACCTGATAGTCAAGCAGGCGAACAATATTCTCATGTTTGAGCTCCTGGAACAGGTGGGAAAATATAGATTTTAGTTCAAAAAGATGCACAAATAGACATTAACACAGTTTAAAGAAGCATTAAAAAAACGTATTACCTTTAATATTTTGATTTCTTTACCAAGCAGAGCCTGAGATTTGGCCAAGTTCTTCTTGTTGATGCACTTCACAGCAACCTCCCAGTCTCGTTTCTGGAAAAGTTCAAATAAATGTAAACACAGCAGCCTTATCGATACTCAGATCCAGGTACATATCGATCTGTCTCACCTCTTTATGTCTGCCTTTGAAGACGACCGCGAAGGCACCGTGGCCAATCAGGTCCTTCCTGTTGAACTCAAACTTCCCGACAGACTCCATGTTAGAAATAAACTCAAATATTATAATTTATAAGTGTTCAAGAGGATCGATTCTCCAACCGTGAGGTCCCGCGACGCTTCCCTCGCGCCGGTAAATCCCATTTCATTCATGCACAACGCCGCCTTCGCACGTGGCAGGCGTCAAAACCGAGGTAAACACCGATGACAACATTGTTTCTGTCAACAAGACCAAAAAAGTTAAAAAAAACTGTGTAAAAACTAAATATTATTATTATTAACGAGCCTCCTTTAACGCGTCACGTCCAGCTGCGTCTCTGGAACCGGTAAAAGTGTTAAAAAAACTCACGTTAATGTTGTTTATCTGTTTGTTTTCACACACTGAGCTCACGTATTATTGTCTTCTTCACCTTTCTACGCTGCTGCTTATTCATATCTCAAGGTGCGCATGCGTAAACAGGGGCTGGCAGCTGTTTGGACGGTGGCGCGTTCAGGGTCACCTCGTAAACTCGTAATTCAGTGGCTCAATTTGGCTGGGATTTATTTTTAAATAGTGTTATGGTCAACTGTACCTTGGCTTTTGTTTTGTTTTTTGCTCTGGTTGCAAATAAATATAAGCTGCTACCATGTAGGGCGATTTCTGATATTTAATAATCACTTAATGACATACATACATCAGTAATAGCCTAATTTTACACATAATCCATGTTGATAAAGACACAAAAAAATAGAAATGGATGGCAAAAACAGCATATTGTCAGTATTTTAGTATTAGTATTGTCAGAGAGTCCCCAAGATTTAACAAGTTGTGTTTTTATGTGAGCTCATGTTATGGCAGCTGGTGTTTTTATTTTCTGCTAGTTTTGAACGCAACGTATGTTTTGCTCTTGTATGATCAAAAATATAATATTAAAACAGCAGGATAAGACAGGATAAATTGTATTAAATTGTGTCTTAAGATTTAAGATTTATGTACAACAAGTTGAACAAAGCTTGCAGAAATAATAAAAAACTAACAAGTGCCTGAATTGGACCAAAAAATGACATTAACTTATAGATACTGTATTATTCTTATCAAAAATATTGATAAAAAACGTACAACGAATACAACATATTGGTAAAAATCATTTAATAAAGACCACACGGATTTCTTGTCTTTAACATTTTTATAATAAAGATAATTGGAAGCACAAACAATAGTACCATAAAAGACGACAATCATTTAAGGCCATACAAGCACAGAAATACTGAAATATTTAACTTTAAAATCTGACATGAAAAGTGAGCGCAGAGTGACTTACAGTAAATCCTGTTTTTAGGAAACCTAATGTTGGTACAGTGTAAGATCAATGACATCTTAAAAATACGTCATCTCCCTCCATTCTCACAGTATGTTAAGAAAAAAAAAATAATGATCAAGTCCCTCTGTTGCAGAACATTACTTCATATTTTAGTGTACAAAAAAAATTAAAAAATGGATGAAAATGTAAAAAGAAATAAGACACACCGTAAAGCTTCACAGAATTGTGTCCAGAAACACAACCAGTATTCACTATTCCTCAGAAAAGCATAACATACCACAAATACACCATTCAATTCATTTTAAGGGAGAGAGAGAGAGAGAGAGAGAGAGAGAGAGAGAGAGAATAACACACAAACAGAGTTTTAACATACTGATTTGTTGAGTTGTGACACAGAAGACATGATACAGAACTCACGAAATAAATAAATACATTACATCTGAATTACATACGGGATCTAATTCACTGCTACACTGCTAGTTGTAGTGTTGCGCCATCCCCAAAAGTTGGATTAAAGCTGCATGAATCGGACGAATCTCAGAGAATTCATCCAGGTAAAATAAGCAAGTTGGGTTTTTTGTGATTTTAAACACTTTATTTAAGGGAAATATACTGTTTTCTTGGTCTTTTTCTATCCGAGTTTATGTACACTGTAAAACCTGACGAGTAGAAGTAACTCAAGTGTTTATTGTTAAGGTAACTTCAGGGTAAATTAAGTGAATTTGTACTAATTAACCCTTCAGTTAACTGAAGTTAGGTTTCTCCAAACTTATTTAAAATGTGTCAACAGAATTGATCTGATTAAAGTCACTTAAATGCATCTTTTTTATACAAATGTTAAGTTTAATTTACTCAGTTTACTTCCACTAAAGCATATTATTACATTACCTGTCAAAACAGCTGATGTACAAGTTATAATTAATTAATTATTAAAATGATAGCCAATTAATTTTCTGTTTCTTATATGTGACAAACATCAAATCTTTACACTTTGGGGGGATCATTAAGGATTATTTGGATGCATATTTGGGTTTATGATGATAAATAAACTGAATTATAAACTAAAATTGTAAAATCCTGAGCTATACAGCATTATAATGTTTATATTTATATAATTATATAAAGTCTACTTCAAGAAAATGAGTCAGTGGAACAAACTGGAATTAAATCACCTATATTTAAGTTCACTCAAAACAACTGAGTTGCTTCAACAATTCATTTTTGAGTTTAATTCATGTAGATTAATTTATATTAACTTAACTTAATTACATTTATGTGTTGTCAGGTTTTACAGTGTACCCAACCATACCCTGAAAATACTTATCTTAATTTTTAACATGTTAAAAGTGAATTTAATCAGATTTTTATTAAGTGAGAAAAATGACAGATCAAAACATTCCTCTTTGATTTAAAGGAAAAATTGATGACATTGAAAAATGAAATTTTAGGAAATAAGCTTATTTCCCTTCTTGCCAAATGTTAAATAAAAAAAAGAAGAAGATGGCTGACACCAGGGTTTGAAATACATCCCAGTAGCCGTTGGTTGTTAGCTAGAGTAGCTGTTGGAAAAGTTATCTTTCTATGTTGTGTAAATATGAAGCTGTAGCCAGCAGCAGATTACCTTAGCTTAGTTTAGCACAGATTCATTTCAGATTAAATAAATGAGAGATAACACAGTCGATTAAATGGGCTTCAGCTGGCCCGGATCAACCATATGGGCAGTCTGGACATGCGCCCAGGTGATGGGTGATGGCGTGCTATGCTATGTACCAAACTTGGCCATATTTTGGGGGAACTGCTGCTGCAAAACACTGAAAAAAACAAAGATAGAGAGCAGAAGTCGGGATTCAGGTATTTGCAGAATTTACAAAAAGGGAGAAATAATTAAGAATTTGTTTCCCCAAATGCAACAACTCATAAAACTCTGCTGGAAATTTGACTTCTTTCAGAAAATAGCTTCAGAAAATGCTTTAGAGGAGCTGGTAGGTGGATTTTTATCACCTTTGGACAGAGCCAGCCTAGCGGTTTCCAGTCTTTATGTTAAGATATCCTGACTGGCTGCTGGCTGTGGCCTTATGACTGATGTACAGGCTGTGGAGTGGTATCAATCTCCTCATCTAACTCTCAGCAAGACGGCAAGTAAAAGTATTTCCCCAAATGCCAAACTATTCCTTCGATAGTTAAAGTCCTTAAATGACTCTATTGAAACGTTGTTTGTACAC